CGTTTAATAGGGAAATATGAAGAATCACTTGCAGATTTAAATAAATCATTAGAAATTGAACCGGAAAATGCAGAAACATTAAGAAGTCGAGGAAATACATATCGTATGATGGCTAGATATGAAGAATCACTTGCAGATTTAAATAAATCATTAGAAATTGAACCAAATAATGCATTTCTGCATTTGCATTAAGAGTCCGAGGAGATACTTATCGTTCAATGGACAAATACGAAGAATCACTTGCAGATTTGACTAAATCATTGGAAATTGAACCAAATAATGCAGATGGATTAGGATTTAGAGGAGTAACTTATCGTTTAATAGGCAAATACTAAGAATCACTTGCAGATTTCAATAAGTCATTAGAAATTGAACCAAATAATGCATCTGCATTAAATTGTCGAGGAAATACCTATCGTAAGATGAAACGATATGAAGAATCACTTGCAGATTTAAGTAAATCATTAGAAATTGAACCAAATATTGCAGTTGCATTAAGAAGTCGAGGAAATATTTATCGTTTACTAAATAGATATGAAGAGTCACTTGCAGATTTAAATAAGTCATTAGAAATTGAACCAAATAATTCATGGTCATTAGCATTTAGAGGAGCTACTTATCGTTTAATGGGCAGATACGAAGAATCACTTGCAGAGTTTAATAAATCACTAGAAAGTGACCCAAAGAATAAATGGGCATTAAAGCAACGTAAAATGACCTACAGTTTATTAAATAAATAAAATTCATTTGTCGACTTAAAATAAAGATAAAGTTGGGGATCATTTAATGATATTTTGAGTTTTATAAATTAAAATTTTCAAATATTTCAAATTTCGGTAAATTGATTCATAGAAATTTTGGTTCATTAAAAAAATTATAATTGTTTGGTTTAATAAGATTTTATTAGCCAATCACTAAAATTTTGCATTTTATAAATTTGATAATTTGAATGATTATTGTACCAGATGAGCATGAAAACTGAAAAGATTTAATGTCATGCATCATTTTTATTAATCAACGCATATTATTTTTCGATCTAATGACTCGGGTTGACGTAGCATTGATAGTGATTTTAACGATCAAAAAGTTGCTATTTGACTGTCATGTACATTTTTGTAATATTTATAGATTTACAAATCATACCTTCCGACTTGTGAAGTCTTTTATTGAATATTTGAATCTTTTAACAACCAACTACAGATGCTTGAAGATAGAAATTATTACGAATGTCTATCATAAGTGTTAATTATACCAAAATCTGGATATGCAATTTTAAGGAATTCATAGTTTTAATATATAAAAACATTTCTAACACAAAATATTCCAAAATGTTCAACCTATAATGGAACGACTAAATATATATACTATTCCGAAAAAAAATTCATTAGCTAAATCGTACGGGTCTTACTAATTGTTAAAAGTATAAAACGGAACCAACATTTTTATCTTAAATGATTATGGCATAATAAAATTTACCAAACATGTTTGATTAAAAAATAAACCTTTTAATCTCATATATGTCATAATAAATATTGCAATTTATTATTTTCTTTTTTAATTGTATCAAAAATATTACGTCACTGATTTATAAAGTTTATAAAGACGTGTCGATGTTCTGCACCCATCACATGTAAGTTTTCGATCTTTTCCAATTGAAAAATAACTTATGCCGGTCCTTAGTGCTGTAAGTCATTAGACTTGTTATAATTATTCAATGATTGATGACGTACTAGCGCATTAATATAAATTAACAACTGCAACAGTATATTTTCCCGGATCACGAAACTTTCGATCGAATCTCGAAACCTTTACATTGATCAAAGAAAATAAATTTTGTTTAATGGATAGAAATTGTATATGAGTGTTTAAATTATTACTTAACCCTCGCTAATGCCAGCCCATACAATTGGTTTTACATTCATGTTGATAGTGATATTAATGAGGGATCATATTAAAGTTGATATGTTCCGCGTCATTTTTCTATTTATGTTGCTTCGAAATTAACATGCCATTTGTAAATTAAAATCTATTATGCATTACTGTATTATTTCACAATCGGTATAAATAAAATTTTATATTCGTATATTTATTTTATTTTACATGTGCTACTAGAAAAAAAAGTCAATTTTTGCATTGACGATGTAATACACATCGAACTTTCTTGTACATGAAAAATTGTTTTTTCGACAAGAACAAACTTTGGCATTACAATTAGCGTTTCGACGCTATAAATTATTTCATGAAAATTTTCGACTTGTGTTCACAAATTATTTGGATATTGTTTAAGTAAATAAAGCACTTTAACGTGCCAATGTATAGTATCTTGAAGGTAGTATTTAAAGCTTGGGTTATATGAAACATTAGGAGTTTTTAATAGGTTTAAACTTTCACTTTCATCATCAAATAGTGTTTATTTTTTCTTTACTAATATTGGCCTTCAAAAGGCAAGAAGGTGAACATCTGTAATTCTGTTGTATTAAAGAAAACTATTTGAACTTTTTTTTTTTTTTTATATAATCGCAATTACAAATAGAGTATACTTCATAAATAAAATACGTAATATCGCTGATCAACAAAATACGTAATTTATTAGTATTATAGAATAAATGAGTGTCAGCAAAGGAGAACATACACATTTATATGTAGGCTATGTTAAATGTATATGTATAAATATATAACATGATAATTAGGGATGGAAATTATACCGTATAATAAGATTTGGTATATATACCGGGTTATTATACCATATAATAACCGTATAATAACCATATATGGGTTACATAAAACCAATGATGTCAAGTACTGAAGTAAGAGATATTGAATACATAAAAATTTATTTATATTAAATTCGATTGAAATTTAATATATACATATATATGCTTGTGTATACAAATATGCATGTAGTGTTTATTCAAGAATAATGCTTAGAATTGCTTGCTACAACGATTTATTCATTTGATAATTCTAACTCCATTATTGAACCACTATTATTATCAATGTCGGATAAATAGATTGGTTCGATTTCTTCTTCAATGCCTTTACAAATTCCTTCCTTATAAATTATATTATCTATTTCTATATCTTCATCATTATAAATCTCTTGATTAATCTGATTAACCTTGCTATTATTAATTCTGGTATCAATCTTGTTGTTTACTGGTTTTTCTGCATATATTCGAAGATTTTCATAAACATAAACTAGTTTTTTAACTCAAGTATTATGTAACCGATTATGAAGCTTGCTGTGAATAAAACCAAATGTAGAAAAATTTCGCTCTGCTGCAGCAGAGGATGTTGGAATCTTAAGAATTTTGATCGCTAGTTGTTTGAGACTACTATCAGGCTATGATTTCCACCACAATACTATAAAAATTGTTAAATTTAAATACCTTTAGTTAGTAACATTATAAAACCATAGATCTTAGAATTATTTAAAAAAAAAATACCAGGGTCAAGCATAGTAGCTGATTCCCAAAAAATATAATCATCATATGGAGAACTTTTGTTTCGAAATTTAACAATTTCAACAAATAATTTTACAGAGTTTTCTTGTTCAAATTTTAGATTAGCAAATTTTGTAAATGCATTATATCCTATAGGCTCTATATTATAAATTCTGCTTTCTTCTAAAATCATAGATCAAGCATATAAGCAACCATTATAATAATATGATAAACATAATTCTACTGTTCTTCAATTAAAGTTTGAATTTCATCAAGAAAATTACATAGAATTTGTTGAATCATATTTATCATCTTATTAAAATTAGAGTAAATAGATGAAAGTGTAGTACTGTCTGATTCAAATAGTTTTAATGTAGCTATGATTGGTTGTAAAATACTTGTAATCAAATCTAGATTTTTTCAGAATTAATGTTTAACATATAAACTCTAAGCCTTGCATCTATAGTTTCACAAATTCTTGAATCCATTAATGTTTGTTCAATTGTAATTCTTAATTTTTGAAGTGATTGAAGACATCCAAGGTGAGTCCCCATTGTGTTATTGCTGGCAAAACCAATGCAATTTCTTTATTATAGTTGTCAAGTTGAATCCATTTAAGTTTTAATATTGCTTGTGGACATGCTTTAAAGTATTTAACTAGCTTTGTAGTATTATCAATTACTGTTTTTACATCATGAATTTTCAGAATATCTTTAATTAATAAATTTAAAGTATGAAAAGCACATCGAAAACAAACAATGTTAGGATATTTTTCTTCAATAATACGCTATGCTGCTTTCATTATAGTGGCTGTATTTGTTATAACAGCCAAAAAATTTTCAATATTAACTACTTCCATTTGTTGAATTATTTGATTAGTAATCTATTCTGATATATGTGATACTTCACCTAAATAAACAGCATTAAAAAAATAGGTTTTGGCATACAAATAATAAAATTTTGTACAGATTCCTGATTGATATTAGACCATCCATCAGAGATCATACATAAACTGTGTACTTCTAAAATTTGTTTATTAAATTTTTCTTTAATATCATTATTAACCTTATCTAATAATTCATCTGCAAGTTTTTTCTGATTTGGTAATTTAAATGCAGAGCGAATACGTTGAAAAAATTTTACTACATAAGGATTTTTAAGAAAAGCAAATGGTACTCCTATAGCAAACAAAGACTGAAATAATATAAATTCAAGAGATTCTTGTTCTCCTTCACTTAAATGATCTATAAAATTATAAATTAGTATAGTTTTTAACCATTTTAAAGTATATGAACTAGTAGATGTTGATATATTAATTGGAGTAGTTAGTTGATTTTTAGACTTTGATTTGGCATTTTCTGGTGCTCCCAAACAATTATAGTTAAGATGTGCTTGCATTCGAGTAGCAATTTCATATTCAAAATTTTTGGACAATAATTGCATTTTACATGAGGGTGTGGTTTGTTATTTTCAGATTGATCTTCAACTTGATCCTCAGTTTGGTCTTCAACTTGATCTTCAGTTTGGTCTTCGTCTTGATCATTATTCTGATTTGTAGTAATGCTTTATTTAAAATTGTCCAATGTTTCTATTCTGAAGTCTTTCTTTTTCCTATTATGTTTTATATAGAATTATCGTTATTGTTATCATTATTATCAGTCATAAGACATGTCCTCCCTGGTGATATTACTAGTGATTGATTTTTGTGTAATATAAGTTGATATTACTTTTTTTTAACCTCTTTAAGAAGTTAATAGCAAGCAACATTTCAATCTTAAATAACTTTTATTTTCAAGTTTTGAACTTTTATTTTTTACAAGAAATATTTATATTGCTTTATTTTTTATTAACTTGAATCAGACCTAAAAGTTGCAATTTTTAAACACAAATGCCAAGATTTTTTTTCAAGTACTGTGAAAAAAGACTATTTTTACTTTGTTAGCGATGGAGAATCAAGAGCACTATAAATCTCATTATTGGCATAAAAGCACTTTAGTTATGACTTTTAGGCATTTACTAAGAGGTATTTTTTTTATAAGGTAAATTAAGGGGTTAATTTGGATTACTTTTACCTTGATCTATTTTTGTAAAATCTATAAAAATGATCAAATAGAATCTTATTACAGGATTTTAACTAAACTGGGATGCTTACATATGACGAAACACAGTATTTAAAAATTTTTAAGGATCTTTGAAGTTGAATTATTAATTTTTATTATTTAAAATTTGAATTCTAGGTGATTATAGTCAGATCTCTCTAAGTGCACACTCGTGGGACCATATCTTAACAATGTGCATTTAGATAATAAGTAATAATAAAAAGTGCACTTATAGAGGTCTAGTATATATTTGCAACAGAATATGAATGTATATATAATAGTAAAGATATGAGCAAAGCCTCACCATAACACAAAAAAAAAAAAAATAATGTATATGTAATAGTTATATCCTGGGCAGTTGAGTATAAGTGGAATTTTGCAGTAAGTATAATTAGCCACGTAAGCAGCCAGTTATACTTTACTATAAAATTTTGTTTATATTCAACTACACAGAATATACCTCTGCCATCTATGTAGTATAACTTTCATGTACTTATTTTAAAGTGAAATTCTTACTTTACGCATTTGTTTTTGATACCCAACTATCTAAATTAAATAGATATATGTCCAGTAGAAATAAGTACATGAAAAAAGTTACATAGATGGGGTTGACCAGAGGATAATTAAGGAATATGTGCATTTATAGGGGGATACTTAGAAAGGTCTGACTGTAATAAGGCACGCATGAAAATTTGAAAGGAAGGCAAATTATATGTACTCTAATGAATTTGTTTTTAAACACAAAAGGTGTTTAACACTATTTTATTTTTGAATATTCTTGTGTCTATTGTTTCTTTAGTACTGCTTAACTCTTTCCTCTGTCCAATCTGAAGAGATGGTGTGAAGTTCTGTCAACACTTTCTAGATTTCATTTTCAGAAATTGTATCAAGTTTAAATAATTGCACAAGTATTGTTTTTTCTGTTTCAGTAGTAGTGTGATGTAAACATTTTAAAGAATTAGTTACAGAAGATGATGATAACAACGATGTTTGCTGCGATATTAAGGTATCTTGTTGAACAATTGATTCTTGAATAGGGTTGTATATTTGACAACGTTTTGGTTTTTTTTACACTCTCAAGTTGAGTATAGGTATGATGATTTATATTTCGCATACGGTGTTTAGAAGTTCGGGCTTAGTTTTGTATACATCTTCTTCAAGCACCTCTTGAAAGCGCAATTTTTCAGTCTCATAGAAAGAAAGAATATTCTTAATATCTTCATCAGTAATTTCTGGTGCATCTTCGAATAGATAATGTGTTGTAGAATTTAAACAGTCAAAGGCAGATAACAGGTTTGCAACCAGAGACCAGAGAGAATATTTACATGACTTGATTGCGTGAGCATTTTGGCCCATTATAATATCATCAACGTATTCTGCAAGAAGTATTGATAGGCGATCTTTTTCACTTTGGATTGCTTTAATTTTCATCATCATAGTTTCTTGGTCGGTAACATTACCAGTTATATTTTGTTTGACAAATTTTATACCATATATTTCAAGTGCTTCGTCAAAAGCAAAATAATGTCCTTTGCTCGTAAGGTTTACTGAACATACTATATTTAATAATTTTTGTAGTTGTAAATCATCATGAACCTGAACCAAAAAGTGTGCAACAGAACTCGTATATTTAAATTTTCCAGCCGCAGAGAAGAGAGGTGCAAATGTGGCCAAATTTGCTATTTGCATTCTGTAATTTCCTCTATGAATTCTGATTTTATAACCTATAAAGTATCCTGTCTAGTGAAAGAAGAGGTACCATATCTTTATTAGGTTATTATCACTATTTAAAATATCGTTCATTGTTTTTTTCTCTTTTTTAACATGCTGACACAATACAATCTCAACTGCTACTCAGATCAACTCTAAAACGTGACATGTTGCTCAGTAATCTACTACATGTTCAAATTTTTCTAGGCACCATACTCCAAGAGTTGCGGCAAGGTTAAATATTTCATATCCAGAAAATATTGTAATTAAAGTGTTGCATATATCTTTAGATGTGTGCCACTATCTCAAAATAAGCCGGATGTTATTGTGGCTTTCTTTATAAGAAATTAATTTGCCAAAAATTGCTTGATCACATGCAATATATAGGTATTCGTTATAACCCTGAGGTAAATCATCGTGATATATTTCGCATGCTGCATGAACATTATCATTACAATTGGACAGATTACTAGGCTCTAATATTACAATTTTTGGTAGTAGAATATTGCAACCTAGGGGTATTTGTTCGGCAATTTCAGAGTGCATATCTTCTATTTCAAATTCATTTATGTGAGTTTCTAACATTTTATTTAAAGTAGTTTCATATATTATTAGAAGATTATTGGTAATTGAAGACTCTCCAAATAATGGTTGATTAATGGATTCAAGATTTTTAACCTAATAGTTAAGTGAGATAGGAATAATGAACTGGAATACCATTCGTAATATGGCATGTGAAGTTTGTTGTTCGATATCAAAAATATTACCATATGAGAATGTAAAGGCTTTAAAATTGATATTATCGATTACTGCCAGATTCCAAATATTTGATCCTTCAATTAAATTGTTTCTGAGATTAATATAATGCATCCTTAATTTTTTAAGATGGCTTTTATGCCTTTTAGTATATGCGATAACAGATGCTGAATGAAGAATTTCTTTTAGATATGGCAATAGTTTTGAATTTTGGCATATCGACGATATCATATTTGAAAGCCAAAATTTTGTATCAGGAAAAGCAATGGTAAAGAGCATTGAAGTTAGCAAAGTAGTAGTTTTTGTTATTTGACTTATATTATGTAATTTTAGAGGAAGTTCAAGCTGAAGCCTTTTATTATTAATAATTTTTTGTTTATGTTCTTGCAATACCATAAGAAGAGACTGAAAAAAGGTATGAATGATATTGTAACTAAAATATTCGGTTATAGGGGTGGGTTTAGGTCTTTGTTGGGAGAAATATCAAGACGAAGAGGCTTTTATTTTGATCATTAAGACTTGAGGCAGTGGATGATGTCTTTAACAAGTCTTTTTACAAGATGTTTTTATAAGAAAAATGATTACTAACATTTAACTATCTATTCTCTAGACTAATCTTTCTAAAACTTATCACAAACCCTCCTTGTTACAAACCTGTTTGAAATAAATTACTATTCTAACAATGTTATACATAACAATCCTATACATAACGATAATAAAGTAATGATATTCTAAATAAACAAATAAATATGCAAGTTGTTGGGTGAAAGGTCTATTGACATTACATAATCGTCATATGCATCATGGTCACGTGATCATCATAGCGCATAACATTTATTACAGCCGATCTTATAATTCTGTTACACATCCCTCCTTCTTAAGATGCGAGGTCTTCTGAGCTAGTCAGCCAGTGACTAAAAAAATTTTATTCTATAACTTTATTCTAAAAATTCTATATATAAAAAAATAAACTAATTCTATTTAGGGGTTTTAGGTTCCTTGGTGTATCTGTAACCAGAACTCTACTAACTTAATTCAGGGGTTTTATACCTCGGCTAACCCGTAACCAAAAACTTAGGAGTTTTTATACCATAGATAAACCATAACCAAAACTTACAAGGCTAACCTATAGCCAAACTTTACTTAGCGTAGATCTTATTCCTTGCCAGACCAGGCTCTATCATTACGGCCTACTCAAACTAAAACTAATTCCCTCAAACTAAAATTTCTTGCACGTGACTTACAGGTACATACTCACTAAACTAACTTACCAAAATAAACTAACCAAAACTATAAACTTTAATATTTTGCTAAAATCAATAAACAAAACTATATACATTAAACTAAAACTATAACTCTAAAAAAAAACTAAATCGATAATCTAAATTCATTCATTTAATTTATATATATATATATATATATATATTTTTTTTTTTCATTCTTATTTGACCTTACATCAGGACTTAGGATGTAACAGATAAGTTTTGTGATTTTCTTGTACTTCTCTTTCATTATATCGCTTCTACTAATTTTATTTATTTATTTATTTATTCTAGGACTTACTTTTCTTAGATTCGACATTGTTATGGATTCTTTCAGGGCTTCACAGAAATTGAATCAACTTTGAATTTGTTTCTGGGCTATACAGGGCGGGTAAGTCTTTCTCAGCATCTTGTTTTTTTCATGTAACGTCACCCACGTGATTGCTACATTTATCTAGTTGATTGATCATCTACATCTTTTTAATTTCATTTAGCTTCGTTCTTTCAACATTTTTCTTCTAGTGGGTAATGCAACATTTTTTCCATTCTTCCAGATCAAGTAGGCATTTTTACTTCTGTGTTCCTTTTCTTTCTCCCTTTCTTACCTTATTTACTG